TTAAATCAGGTGATCCCCGTCCTGATTAGATAATATTTTTTTTTTAAAGATTTATTTACTTGACAGAGAGAAACACAGCGAGAGAGGGAACACAAGCAGGGGGAGTAGGAGAGGGAGAAGCAGGCTTCCTGCCGAGCAGGGAGCCTGATGCGGGGCTAGATCCCAGGACCCTGTGACCATGACCTGAGCCGAAGGCAGACGCTTAATGACTGAGCCACCCAGGTGCCCCTGATTAGATAATATTTTAATCCCTATTTTACAGAGGAGGAACGTGAACAAGATAATAACCTTGACCCAGGTCACATAATGGAGAAGTGGCAGAGAGAATTCAAGCCCAAGCAGACAGGTCCCTGGGCCACGCTCTTCATCCTTGTAGTTGGAGGAGGGGCAGAAAGAACCCGGGGCGGGGGGCTGGGGGCCAAGAGTGTAGGGCGAAGTGGAGCTGGGGGGGGAGGTCGGGGTCAAGTCATGGACTTGTTTTCACACTGAGAGCAGAGAAACAGCATGGAAGGATTGTGAGCACCAGGTAGGGGGTGCTGCTGGTGTGCCATCTGACCATTGCTCTCCTCCCTCCCTTCCTCCCCAGCCGGACTGCGCGGCCCGCGGGGCAGGGGGAGGAGCGGGCGAGTCCGGGGTAAGGAACCCGGGCCGAGAGTCCGGGGCTGGCAAAGGTCTCCGAGGAAGTGGCTGGAGGCCCACAGGGTATGTTTCTCCGGTGGTTACTTAATCCCGTTCCGAGGCGCCCACCGTGTGATGGCCTGCGTGGATGGCACAGCGGCGGCGGCGGCGGGGGGCACACGCCGTGTGCGGCCCCCGGGGGGCTCTGTAGGCAGTCATTAAAAGTCAGATGCTAAGAGACTAATTTCGGGATGTGAAAAATCATGTGGTGAGGTGAGAGAAAGGCAAGCTGTAGAGCAGATGACGTATGCTTCCAGTTCTCACACGCACATACACGTTGGAAAAATACCCAGAGGACGTCTACTAAAATGTTAACACTGGGGATCACTGAGGAAAGATTGAAGTTGATTTTTATTATTATTATATTATTATTATTATTATTTTTACTTGCTTTTGCCATCTCCCTTCCTGTACCTTTTTTGCAGTGATTACTGGCTACTTGTATAATCAGACAAATTCTTTTAAAAGCTGTTTATTAAAAACAAAAACAAAAAAACCCTGTTTATTAGTGTATGAGGCTAATCTCCAATAGTGAGCCCAGTCTTGGCTGTGTGGCCACCTGTCCCATAGGAGAGCTTGGAGGAGGAGCTGAAAGGTTGGCTCATCTGTCACGGCTGAAGCCTGACTCCTGGTGGACAGAAGTATCAAGGACAGACCTCTAGTTGAAGACATCTACATAAATAGCTCGGTGAAAGTTTATTTATTCACTCTTATCATTTGACAAATATGTACCGATCACATTCTAAATGCCAAGCACGATGGGAATATGAAAACAAGTAGTGTTTATAAGTTATATCTATGATAAAACTATGTTAAGGACCAAAGCTTGCCTCTCCTTTTGTTCAACTTTTCTCTATGTCTCATTCTTCACTCTGCTCCTGCTCCTCAGAGACTCAGGTCTATTCCCAGGCTGTTACTTAGAACAGGGTGTTTTTCTTGGTATATTTTCTCACTATAGTTAACCATCCAGAATCTACTAATTTTCATGTATTGTTAACATTGGACTGTTTTCCTGGACTCCATTATTAGTTTTTCAAACTATTCTCTCTGGTTCTCAAGGCATATATATAATCACGCAGAATTTTCTTTTTAAATACAGTAGTTGTATCTCTTATTTCAGAGATCTGTCCATTCTAAGTGTTCATCACTTATTCCTTTAAATCGGCTCTCCTCCCTTCTTGTGCTGCTTTCCTAACCAGGGAAACTTCGGTAGGTTCTGCCAATGGGAGGCACCAGCAAAGGATCAGAGGGCAGGAGAGAGGTCAGGCTATTCATTTCCTTTTCCCTCCTTTTGCTCCCCTATTTCTGCCAAGACGTACAGTAGCTGCTGAGCCGTGGTCCTGGTCATAAGGCAGTCCTAGCTCCCTCCCCTTGCCTCCTCAGGTCTTGAGTAGGAATTGCTTGTGGTTGTGAGCTGTTAATATCTTCATTGAATTATATCCAAAATATCCATAAAGATGGATCGAACCCATGTCTAATATTTTTCTCTCAAGCATCCCCACTCCCCCAAAACACTACAGTAAAGGAATCTTTAAAAGCCATCAACCGTTAAAATGGCGGAGAACAAGTGATAATGGCAACACAATGTTGGAGGCTGGGAAGATGATGGGCAAGTGGTAACCGACTCGGGAGATCCCAGTGGGGAAAGGCAAGAACCCACCTGATCCATGTGGCAGATGTCTCAAAGGCTTGGATAATGGCAGGGCTCTCCTATTCCAGGTGATTGGGGAATCTCTAAACTAGACCCCAGATAGAGCTGGGGGCCTGGCTGATTCATATTCAGAGATCAAGGGGACATAGGTACACCTATTGCTGTATGACGACCACCTACATGGCATCCAGAATGCAGGGAGCCAACCTTGACCTACTCAGCAGAAGAGAAGAGTTTCTCTGGGGCTCTACCTAACCAGCTGAAAGAAGAAAGAAAAAGAAAGAAAGAAAGAAAAAGAAAGAAAGAAAGAAAGAAAGAGAAAGAAAGAAAGAAAAAGAAAGAAAGAAAGAAAGAAAAAGAAAGAAAGAAAGAAAAAGAAAGAAAGAAAGGAAAAAAGAAAAAGAAAGAAAGAAAGAAAAAGAAAGAAAGAAAAAGAAAGAAAGAAAAAGAAAGAAAGAAAGGAAGGAAGGAAGAAAGAAAGAAAGAGAGAGAAAGAAAGAAAGAGAGAAAGAGAGAAAGAGAAAGAAAGAGAGAAAGAAAGAAAAAGAGAAAGAGAGAGAGAGAGAAAGAGAGAAAGAAAGAAAAAGAAAGAGAGAAAGAAAGAAAAGAAAGAAAGAAAGAGAAAGAAAAGAAAGAAAAGAAAGAGAGAAAGAAAGAGAAAGAAAATAACAAGGAAGAAAGTATGTAGGGAGAAAATTAAAAACAAAATATCCTTAGGGAGCTAAGATAAGCAGTCTTCACACAAATGAGTCAGCAAATAAACCGCCTACTCCAAAAAAAGGGGGGAGGACATTAAAAGTGAGCTCTTGGAAACTTAAAACATGATGATGGTAAAAGTTAAGGGATGACAATAAAGTTGAGGCATCTCCCAGAAAGTAAAGCAAAAAGGCAAAAGGATGAGAAATAAGGAGGGAAGACGTAGACAAAAACCCGTTCAAGAGGGCCAACCAGCCTCAGAGAAAATGGGAGGTGAGGAAAACGCACTCTCCCTTCAAGCGTAATGCTAATCACACCCCTCGTCACCTGCTCCCACCAATCCTGTCACCTCCTCTAGAGCGCTGCAAATTCTGATTTACCCTCTTCTTGCTCCGCCCCGCCTTTCCGCAACAAGTAGGCATGGCTATCCTCACAAAACGCAAGCGCCACTGCGACACTCCTTTGCCAGAATGCTTGAGTGAAAACACTTCTTTCCCAGGACTGGAAAGGTCCCACACATTAATCCAAACCCCCATCGTCTCAACTTCCACTACTTCCTACCCTCCTCCATTCCAATTAGACTCACCTCCTTTGTGGCACTGAGCAGGCCAGGCACCTTCCTTCTTCAGGGCCCTTGTACCGGCTGTTCCCTCTGCCTGGAATGGTCTCCCGTATCTTTGAACGGCATAATCACTCCTCTAATTCTTGACTCAAATATTTCCTTCTTGATGAGGTCTACCTTGGCTACTCCAAATAAAATCATGACATCTCCCCACCCTTTCTAGCTCGGTTCCCTGATTATTTCCCCCATGGCACTCATCATTCGTGAACATATTAAAATACGATTTTTTATACCACCTTTTTCATGAGCACAGGATGTTCTTTTTACTGATGTATTCCCAACAAGAGTGCTTAGCATGAGGCAAGTACCCAATACTTATTAAATGAATAAAGAAACTTTCCCAAAACTGAAAGACATGAATTTCTAGACTGAAAGGATCCACTGAGCTCCTGGTAAAATCACTGTGAGCTTTTCAAACACTAGAAACAAAGAGAGAAGATTCTATCAACTTGCTGAGGTCACAAATCAGAATGTCTTCAAATTTCTTGATAGCAACATGGGAAAGCGGGAGACAACTGATAAATAATTTCCAATCTAGAATTTATTCCCAAACTGCCAGGTAAGTCTGAAAGTAGACTAAAAGCATTTTCAGACTCTTAAGATCTAAAAATACTTTGTCTCCCATGCACCCTTGTTCCATAAAGCTCCTAAAGCATGTGGATCCCCTCAGCAGAAAAAGGCAAGCATTGGACCCTGCAACCGGAACCCGTGAGGCAGGTACAAGGGAGATACCCAGACTGAGGAGGGGAGTTTGCACACCAGGCCTGCTGAGTGTGAGGTTATTTTCGCTCCACCTTGGTAAAACTAGCAAAGCATGTGTTGTACAGAAATGATGGAATAAACCAGATGGCAGAGTATACTATGGAGAAAACAGGAATCCTCATGTAGGAGAAAGGCAGAGCACGTCCCAGGGCATCAGCTGTGTGTGTGTGGGCGGGGGGGGGAGGGAAACAGAACTGACACATTACTGGATGGGACAATCCTTGTGGATGACTATTAAGTAGTTTGGAAAGAATTAGCAGTAGCTGCAAAGGAAACAAAGCTGTGTGTGTGTGTGGTATTTATGTTTAGGAATCACAAAAGTAAAACAGGAGGGTATCATTTAGAAACACGGACCTGCAAGAAGAAACTGGAGGAATGAACAGACTACTGGATTCTTCTATAAGCCATTTAAAACTCTATGTATTCCTTTAAAAATTAAAATGGATTTTTACAAAGATCCAGATCTCTCAGTAAGCTTTCCAACCTTCTCACCTATGGGCAGTTTTCTTTCACAGTATTTACCTAACAACATGTGACGGTGACAGATGTTGGTAGCTAGAATCCCAGGTGGGAAAGACGTCAAAGAACTGAAGAGTACTTTGAAATAGTTTTATTGGCTCATAAGACCTTTGCATATAAAAAAAATACCCAAAACACTATGCAGTATTAAATCACAATTACATTTTTTTACCAATTCAAACTACCCTGAATATACATCTTTTAAAGAAAAAGAATCCTACAGAACTGAATTCTGAAATGACATTATGACTTAAATACTATGACAAAATAGATAATTCCTTATAACATTAATTCATTGCACAAAGCTGCCAGATATTTTCATAAGCATAACCATTGCACAGAGTGCAAATGAACACAATTTCAATGTTACACATTTAGTTGAAGTACGTGTGCCTCCACCTAAGGAACTCTGAGATTTCTGGCACAAAATGTTGGTCTCATTTAACTTCCACCGGGCAACCGACTTCACAATTCAGTTACTCTTGCTCTCCTTAAAAAAAACAGACCTATCCATCTGCTGTCACAGCCTACGAGAGTCAGCATCGCCTTTGCTTAAAGAAATCGACTCCTCTCAATTCCTCCGGCAGGTATTCTTGATCCACAGGCTCGCTGTACATGGGGTTGTACTTGTAGCCCTTGCCGTAGCCCAAATCCTTCATCAGCCTGGTGGGCGCGTTCCTCAGGTGCAGTGGGACGGGGGGCAGGGGCCCCTGGTGGTTTCGCAGGCATGCTTTGACGTTGTTGTAGGCGCTGTACACCTCAATGGACTTGGGGGCTCTGGCAAAATAGACTACACACTGGGCCAGAAGCACCTAGGACAAAAAGGAAACATTATGAAGGTGCCAGAAAGTTTCTCTCCTGTAGGATATTTTATGACATCTCTACTTAATTCTGAAAAGATTCCCAATATGCTTTTGTTATCCCCCTTTTATGCCTATAGTCAAGATAACCACTTGTGATGGAGAGAAGAAATTCCTACAGGAGGCGAGAGGTTGAACCAGACCAATGATTTACTTTTTTTTTTTTTTTTGTTAAACAGAAGAACTTTTATTAAATGAATTTTTTCTTAAAACCCCAACATATACAACATAAACATGAAGCTGCTCTGTTTGTGAGTGAACTTATAGAAACTTCCTGTTCAGCACTTCAATACTTCTGCCTCCAGGAAAGGCTGAGCACTTCCTCTGAAACCACAACTACTGAAAAGTTTCAAAACATGACCTTGTTGATACCTAAGGTCTCCCCTCTCTCTAGAGTCTAAGCTTCTAAAATGGGAGTTAAAAAGCCAAGCAGCTTCTTCGGTGGGCCCGGACATTAAAGGTGATAGCAGGACATGTGTTCAAATCCACAAAGGGACATGGCACAAGAAAAAGGAACTGATTTGCAAGGAACTGAGCTGATTACTTTACCTCACATTCGGGCATGCCTATAAAATGACAGCCTTGGTAGGCAGCAACTGCTTGTGTTAATGCAGAAGGGTCTGCCAGACCTGTCACACACACGGAAAGACAAAGGAAAGTTTAAGTCATAACGCACACTCCCAGCCTGACCTGTCTACGAGCTGCTGAGACCAGAGATCACCGCTGCCTGTAGACGTTACTGACCACAAAAATCCCATTTAGCAAAACGGACTCTTCTCTGATCTCACTAGCTTATTTGAGAAATATTTACTGAGTGGTGTCAAGAACTGTTTCCTCATGGATAAAAACTACACCTAGCAGGAAAAATACGAGAGTATGAATGACAAACGTGAGGAGCCAAGGCCATGCGGACAGGCACAGGGACACATTAAAAGCAAAACATCTACTACACCAAAAAATGTCTTTCTAATGTTTTTCTTTATATAGTGTCCAGAATCTTCCATTTCTATTTCAGAAGCTCTCCAAAGCTGTCCAATGAAAACCTGAACATGTGACTGCAAAGCATTTAAAATATTTCTTTTATTTCAATGCCCATGTTAGGAAAAGCACTCCTGAAGAGGAAACAGATAATGATGACTTCAGGAATACAACCCCTCAAAAGCACATACACAATGCCGAGAAATAAACCAGTGAGTTCATACTTGTCTTCTTCTCTTCTCCTTCCCTGTCCACATGGTACCAAGAAATTCCTAGGCCCCAAAGCAGTAGCATTCCTGCCCCCGCCCCCCGCCCCCCAGCATGCAACCCCACCGTCTGTGGACACAGGGTCTGGTCCTTCCCAGAACACTCACCTATGTCCTCACTGGCAAACCTCACCAGCCTCCTGGCCACATACAGCGGGTCCTCTCCTCCTTCAAGCATGCGCGCGAGCCAGTAGAGGGAGGCACTCTGGTCTGAGCCCCGCATTGACTTATGAAGCGCAGAGATGCAGTTGTAATGCTCTTCTCCTAGATACCACAAAAAGGACGTGCTCAATTACGGGCAGAAGAGGGAACCCAGATATCTCACAGGCAGGTCATCTAAGCCATAGGTTTGTTTCACTTGGTTGATTTTAAGGAAGCCTGAATAAGGGACCTAGGAAAGCCAGGGGAGAGTGAGGTTTGACCGCTGTCCTCAAGCTGCTCAGCAGGCGGGCGCGGTGCCACAGCTGCGGGATGCTGGAGAGACCAGAGCAGCTCCGTGTGGAGCCTGTGGGCCTATCTAGTAACCCAGTCAGCCTCAGAGCAGGAGGCTGCTGGAGCACCTGTGCGGCCCATGCTGAACCCGAGCCAAGACCCGGGGGGGTGGCGGGGGGGCAAGGAGAGCCTCACGTGGAGAGCTGGTTCTCCTGGACCTCAGTGGGTTGCCACAGCCAAGAGGTGGAGGGGACTGATCTGATGTTCCGTTTCCACGTGCCCCTACTGTCATTTTGAGGAAAACAGTCCCGGGGGCCTGGCTGGAGCCATGAGGATGGAGAGTCAGTGACAAGGACAGCTATTACAGACGGTCCATTTGTTCCTCAGTGTCCTTTCCAGTGGCCTTTCTGGTATCTGAAGGCTGCGGTCACTTAAATCTGGTGTGGGGATGTCCATGTGGCAGGATCCCAGAAGGGCTGACACAGGAACTAACAGCTCTCACCTTGAAAGCTCTGCAGCCCCTCCCTCACCACTTGGGTCTCCCCTCACTTTTCACCCAGGATTCACATGCAAACAAATCAGTGAAATGTGCTTTAAAGAGAAATTTCATGATTTTCTGACCACAAACTCCTTCCTAAGTTTGAGGAGAGAATATTCTCTTCATGAAAGAAAGCAGGGGAGTTACTCTTATTCGCATTAGTCCCTCCTGGAAAGCACCAAGGTGGACAGAGAGACCATGACCTGCTTTGCACAGCATTTGGGCCCCAGGAACGAGTCCCAGCAGCTGACCATGCTGGTAAGACCATCCTTGGCCTTCATCTGAAGACAGCATGGGACAAAATGCTGGCCTGCCAGGGAAGAAAGACCCAGGAGGCTGACTGCAGGGGCCTGAGCACCTCCCGTTCAGGAAGAGGGCGGATCAGTGGTTTTCAGTCCAGCCAGCAGATTCCTGTAGACAAATAGACTTGTCATCTATCTCCGGGCTTCCTAGCTAAGTCACAATGTCATGGAGACAGGCTGGGAAAGAGTTCCAGGTGAAATCCACAAGGTCCTCCCCCATTCACAGGCCTGGCCACCTCGTAGATATACGGGAGATGAAAGAAGCCATTTCTGCTCCACTTTCTGTGAAATGTAAATAAGGAGGTGGCAACAAATCTCCCCGACACAAACATTACTGTCTCATACCTTTCCTGCAGGTCGACACTGAGAGGCAAATAACAGTGAAGAGCATGGGCTCTAAAGCCACGTAGCCTGGGTGTGAGAGCCAAACTTCTTAGAGCCACGTGACCAAGAACACGGTACTGATCCTCTCTATGCCTCGGGCAGCTCATTTGTAAAATGGGGATTAAAGACTAGCTGGCTCTTACGATTCTGAGTCTCAAATAATGTATGCCTGGTATGGAGTAAGCACTACAGAAACATGTAAGTGTTAGATATTACTCTATGCTAGCTTCCATTTTTGCTTTTATCATATAACATTTTTTAAACCTAAAATTTCACATTATTTACACAGAACCCTGACCTCAATGCAAGGCAGAGAACCTGCTCTCATTTAGAAATTTCTTCACTCTGATACAGAAATACGTGAGCTAGTTACTGGATCCTACAAGTGGGTAACTATATACTAGATGACATTAAAAGAAATAATTAAAATCTTGGGACTGGGGATTTTTGTCTCACCAGAGTTATAAAAAGACCCAGGAGTATAAGCTAGCAGGTTTCCAGGGCAATGCTTCTTCTATCATCCCTATTTATAGAACACAGCTTGGAAGAGAACAATTCTCTAGGATCTGAACTGTATTTATGAGTGTCTACAGATCCACGGTTGTACTGCTACACTACAGTAGGGTAGTGTGTGGGGGGGGCATAATCACATGAAATGTCAGACTTGTAGAATGTGTGGGTTCTCAAGGCCCGACCCCAGGCAGCCTCCGCTGTCCCCAGCTCTTCCTGGGGCAGTGCAGGGCTATAGAGAAAGTGATCCCCATTGTGCATGGTTCCCCTGGATGGAATGTGAGCCTCGAGAAGCAGAAACCCTAGGACTAGACATGTCCAACATCCACTGTGTGCGTATGGGTGTCTGTGAGTACACTCACGTGTGTGTTACTGTGTGTGAATGAATACGCTCTGGTGGGAAACTGGTGACCGCAGGCCAGGGCTGGCGTGGAGGCAGCACCAAGAGTGGGGAAGGACACAGTCCTAGGAACCAGTCTTATACCTGGGGTTGGGAATGAGTTTTACCACTTGCTTTGTGAACTAAGGCAAGCTTTTTATCTGTGAAATGGAGATAATACTAATAACTACCTCCTAAGATTATTTTGAAAATTAAAAAAAAGGACAATATATGTAAAATACTCAAATATTCAGTATTACCTAATGTTACGTTAAATGGTAGCCTTTTGATTTTTAAATGACAGTCTGATAAAACGTGAAAGAACAGTTCCAGTCCATCTAGTCAAAATGAAGAGTCTCCTGGGGCGCCTGGGTGGCTCAGTCGTTAAGCGTCTGCCTTCGGCTCAGGTCATGATCCCAGGGTCCTGGGATCGAGCCCCACATCGGGCTCCCTGCTCTGTGGGAAGCCTGCTTCTCCCTCTCCCACTCCCTCTGCTTGTGTTCCCTCTCTCCCTGTGTCTCTCTCTGTCAAATAAATAAATAAAAAATCTTTAAAAAAAAAAAAAATGAGTCTCCTTTAGGACATGTACAAAGGAAAGAGACAACTGTTGCTGGAACCCCCAGAAACAGTGGAGAGTCCAGCACATGGGAGTTATTTTTACCTCTTAATATTTTAAATTTTGTTCATATCCTACATTCTTGTATTTGGCCAAAAGTAAAGCAAAGCTCTATGTCCAGAACGCTTTACTTTTCAGACTTTCCCAGCATTCCTATGACATTCAGGGGTATAGACAGCTGGCTACCTGGGATCTTTGGGCTGTGCTAGGAGAGGTCCTGCCGAGCGGCACATTCACATCAGAGAGGAGCCAGGACTGTTTGTTAAATGCCTCTCAGTAGTCTTTGCTAATGTGTCCGTAGTACTTACTAGTACCCTCCACCCACCCAGCTCCCAATCAGCTGAGGCACACTAATGCTGACGAGCTTCTGCCACTTCCCCAAAGTCACACAGTGTTCTGTTCAACTCATCAGGAGGCAGTGCCTGGAACCCAAAGTCATTCTTAAGCTCCCCCACCCCCCTTCTCTAACCAGTTAAGAAGGATTCTCCATCATCAAAAAGCATTTCGGAATACTGTAGACAAAGTACTGCCTCTGTGATATCTGGAATGTTCAATGATCAGCTTCCTTTTCTGGCACAGCTTTTAAAGATGTGGAAATTGGGGCGCCTGGGTGGCTCAGTTGGTTAAGTGACTGCCTTCGGCTCAGGTCATGATCCTGGAGTTCTGGGATCGAGTCCCACATCGGGCTTCCTGCTCAGCGGGGGGTCTGCTTCTCCCTCTGACTCTCTGACCCTCTTCCCTCTCGTGCTCTCTCTCATTCTAATAAATAGAATCTTAAAAAAAAAATAAAGATGTGGAAATTATTCCCGTTACTTCAATATGACTCTATCCAGAATCACACAAATACTCAAGCCCCAGAGTCCAGCCTAATCTACCATATGCTAATCTTCATCACCCATCCCTCTTATAAAAATTTACAACTGTGCTGTGCCTATGGCATTTAATATTGCCAGGTCATGGATCTCATAAGAGTTTGTTTCAAATCTGTTACCTGTAAATGCAGTTCTACAAAAACAGGTAAGTGTACACAGCAAAATTAATTTTTTAAAAAAGCTATTACAACCAAAAACATCACATCAAGATCCACATAAATTTCATTTTTAGTTGGGACTGTAGAAATTACGGCCTTTAATTCTCATTAAACTAATAGAAATAAGTCACTTATTGCAAAAGTCTTCTTGTTATTACTGCCATTATAAGTGATCACGAAGATTACTGTCAACTGCGAATGCAGGGGCTTTCAAAAATGTGTGTATCTTAAAAGGCACTACCAGAGAGTAATGGAAAAAATACCTATCTACCTTACAAGATAAGTTTGAAGCCTGCAGTTTTAAACACGAAAACTCCTCTCAATTCTTATCAGGACAGTTTCTGCTCTGTGCCTCTCACAAGAAAGATCGATCAGGAAGCCAGGTCTTTGAAATCAGGCTCTGAGTTGGAGGTTTAATTCAATTAACAATATGGAGATCCAACTGAGAATCAAGTTCATGTTTTGAACTCAGCTGAAAGTCAGAAGCCTGGGATGGGAATGTGTGGACACAACTTATTAAAGTTCCCCTCTTTTCACTTTCCGTTACTTACCTGCTCGGTCATATAAAATATGAGATTGCTGGAGGCCTTCCTTCACATCATTTTCAGTGATCAGAACTCTACTGGGAGAATAGGTTTGCCCACTTTTCTTACAGAACATCTTCCTCGAGCTTAACCTGGCCAGCACTGCCAGCTGTAGTCCATTCAGTCCAGCTCGGGCATCCCCGTCGCTAAGATAAGCCAGAGTGTCTACTGCTTTATCCTCTATGAACACGGACGGCCTGCAACACAAACAGGGTTAGTTACCATCACTTTCCCGTTCGACACTTCTCGTGCTGTAGCACTTCTTACAGAACAGCTCTGTCTTAGCAAGGTCATTAAAAAGCTACCTTAGGTTTAAGGCTTCTGCCCTTGCTCCCTAACTCATGTTGTCAACATGGTTAAGCATTATCAAGACTGGGAACTGACCTGACCTCGAGTCATGAGATTATTTTACTGTATAAGCACACATACATTAAGTATGCATGAAGGAGACATGGAAAGATACATACATGGCTTCTCTGGTTCTATCCTACAAGAGTGAAAACTACAGAAACACTAGGGCTTCATTATAGTATCCAGAAAACATACTTCAAACACAGTGCACATCCTGACAAGACAGGTATGCTCAGATCACTTCCCAAACAGGGAAGGGCCAGGATTTTTACAAACAACCCGAGTCCGCAGTTACTCCGGACACAGCAGGGCCTAGAAGCAAACCTCTGAGATTTTGGCCTGAGGCATGCTCCCAAGAGAGTATTAATCACACAAAGCCTGCACAGAGTAGTGGAGAGGTCACTAGCCTGGGTATCCATCAAAAGACTCTGACAGAACTTGGCTGTAAGACCTGAGGTAAGTCACCTACCATCACCTTTCCAAATGTGGACCTTCATGAAGGTCTAATTAGGACTGGTTCTCAAGTCTAATTCAACAAACTTTTCTATTTCTAGTCAGACAAAATATCTCACACATTTACTTAGAGGGATCTTACTAATTCTTGTCTAGCTGCTAGCTGCACATTTGCAAAGCAAAATATAATTTTTCAAAGGTAAAGCTCACCCATGTCATTGCCAACCTTCAGCTGAAAATGTCTCTACAGTAATTAATAAGCCAATTAGGACTGTCCAAATCAGCTACCTAGAAAACAAAGCACAGGCACCAACTGGGTTGGGCCAAGGCAGGGTGGTAGGGGTCCAGGCCATGAAGGGGACCCAGCCTATGAAGGTCTATGCATAATTCTGTACCATATACCTACCTGCTACTTCGCTTTAGTGAATAGCTTGAATAACACTAATTTGCATTCAATTCACTAATAGATTTGTTTCCAACATCTTTTTTTTTTTTTTTAAAGATTTTACTTATTTGAGATAGAGAAAGAGTGAGCACAAGAAGGTGAGGGGGGCGTGGCAGAGGGAGACAGAGAAACAGACTTCTGGCTGAGCACTGAGCCTGACTCAGGGCTCGATCCCAGGATCCTGAGTTCATGACCTAAGCCAAGGGCAAAGGCTTAATCGACTAAGCCCAGGTGCCTCTTGTTTCTAACATCTTAAAGACTGCCTCATCCCACCCCTTATTTACCAAAGCCAAGACTTCCAGTTTCTCATCTATCACTACACATAAGGCACCTGTTTTGTCTTAGCTTAATAATGAATGACCCTCTCATCACACTCCTCCTGACAGCTGCCTGGGCCCCAAGAACCATGGTTACAGTTCAGAAGCCCATTCTCCTCCCTTCCTGGCCAGACAGATATTCAAAACATACACCAAACCCGTATCACTGGCACTTTTTAAAGCCAAGGAAGCATTTCTCAAACAGATATTATTTAGCAGATTCTAGATGATTTGGAAGAAAATGACAGACAATACATACTCAAGAAAACGTGTTAGGAGGGACTAATGTCAGAGTGGGTGCGGTAGCAACCAATGTGCCTGAAAGGGAAGGGCACTCCTGAGGCTAGGTTACAGTACGTTATATCTGAGTGTGTGCATGTGTGTGCAAACACATGTTATGTGGCGGTGGAGGTGGGTAGAGAAAACCAAAATTGCCTGAACATCTCATTTCAGCCCCAGAACTAATAAAAGCAAAGCCTTCCGTCTCCTTGGAAAGCTTCCTAGCAACAAAGAGCCTACAGGATCATTTGCAGAAAGAAAAAAGGAGTAAAGCAGGAGCCCTAATCAATCCTAACTAACTGAGCCATCACAAGGAGTGAGGCCATTTGCTGATCACATTTGTCATCTCCCCATCCCCACTAAATGTTGAGGCCTCAAGGACACGAATTATGTTTTATTCCTTTTTTACATCCCTTGTGCCTGGGAGAGAACAGGCATTCAATATCTGCACAATAAATAGACTAATCTCAATTCTCCCCACAATCTCAGAGTGAAATGTCTATTTTTTAAAAATTATAACATATGGGAAAACATTAAAAAAAAAAATCCTTTTCTGCGCCACCTAAAGATTAACAATAGCTACTAGGGTCATTTGTCGAATTTCCTTTATGATGTAACCGTCAATCTTAAAACCTAATTTTAAAACAAAATTTGGATCATACTATATATAGTTTGCATCCTTAACAAATACTCAGAACTCTGAATATTACTTTTTTTATTTTAACAAAATATACAAATCACCTATTGCTGTACTACCTTAATGTTAGTATTCTTGTATATATGCCCTTTCTATGGACTTGTTCACTGTATATATTTAGCGGCATGGAGAGCTTTAGGGACAGAAAAAAGACAGGTGTCCTTATACACCCTAGCATTGACTCTATGGCCTCATTTCCATTGGTCCTCATGCAAAGGCAGCGAGTAGGCCTTAATAATTACGAGAGAAGCCAACTAACAGACTGCGCCAGATTTATGAACAGCACAATGTAAACAGGCCTCTCAACGGGTATTTTATGTGGTTGGAAAATAGGATCTTTCCTTCAATTTTTAAATTCTTAAAGTCCGAATTATTCTATTGTTACCTTTTTAATCAGGTTTGGAGTCACAGGGAGCGGGAGAGCTGCCACAATAAAACCTGAGCTGAGAGCTTTCACCCAAGTTCCCACTGTTCCACTCTCCCTCCCCCTTGATATGATCCACATTCCAAATTTCACCCCCGCCCAAAATGAGGAGTATTTTTAAACACAAATGAATCTGTCAGCAACTCTGTTCAAAGTAATAAAAGGTGACTGCTGACGGCACTCACAGTGGTCACACAATTTACCAAATGGAATTTTGCTTTTAAGAACACTGTACAGGATGTTCAAAAGGTTCTACCTACCCTCCAATATATCCTCAACCCCAGTTTACATGACCTTGGTTCTGAAAAGTGATAAAATGTGTTAAGATACCTTGAGATCTTAGAAGAGGGAGCACATGAGTGCTCATGCCAAGAACAATGAAATAAGGAATACTATATTGATATTTGCAAAACTCCTCAGCAAACAGTAACTATTGCACACATTATCTTGGAAGAGTGCTCCTAGTCCAGAGGCATTATTTTAAAATTTAAGCATAAACTTAGAAAAAAATGGTTAAAATAAGTGCACTGGAAAAGATCATATTCCCAGTTAACAGATGTGGAAATTAAAGATTTAGCCTTGTTTCTCTAACTGAAGAGAAATGCTTTCATCTTAGGAGGAATATGGGAAGCATACTGTAAAGACAACTTCTTCCTTTCCTTTTCATTTCCAAGGGCCTGAATCTTTCTGCACACTGTTTTTGTCGTGGATGATACTGGGATTTGGAGAATTCTTTTTAGATGGTGAGCTGTTTAAGCTGGAAGAGGAGTGAAAATAAATGAAAATATACCTGTTACTTCATGGCAGAACAAAAGGGTATGTATGGCTCAGTTAAACTCTCTCTCCATAAATTACAAAACTATACTCTGTGAATCTCTTTCACTAAAGACAAGGAACATTCCATGGTCAGGGTAACAACTGCTCAACAGTGGTCCTCAACCAGGGATGTGCATCAGATTACAGAGAACTACCTTAAAATACAGATGTGTAAATCTAATCACAGATTTACTGATTCTAAAATCTCCAGGGACAGACTCTGGGCACATGTAGAGCTACCCTTCAACAATGTGGGGGTTAGGGGCAATGACCCTCAACACAGATGAAAATTCATGTAAAACTTCTGACTCCCCTAAAACATAACTACCAATAGCCTACTGTTGACAGAAATCTTACCAATAACAAAGACAGTCAATTAACACATATTTTGTATGTTATCTGCATTACATGCTACAATCTTAACAATAAAATAAGCTAAAGCAAAGGTTATCAAGAAAATCATAAGGAAGAGAAAATCCATTACACTACTGTTCTGTAAGAAATATGTATATAAGTGGACCCCATGTAGTTCCAACCCATGTTGTTCAGGGGTCAACTATATTTTCAAAATGTATTCCTGGTAAATGTGATGCGTAGATGTGGTTAAAAGGTAATACTGCTAAATTATAGATAGGAATCTTTTGTTTGTAATCCTTTACAAATTAAAAGTATTGTTCTTACACGAAGAAACGCAGAGAAAGAAAGCAGCATTTTAACTTGGTTCTAAGTGAAAGCAAGTGACTCACTTAACTTGGTACCTAGATCCCTTCTAAACTCAGTACAGGCACATCTCCCTTACCTTGCTTCATTTTATTGCACTTCACAGACACTACATTTTTTACAAATTGAAGGTCTGTGGCAAGCCCGCACTGAGCAAATCGGTGCCATTTTTCCAATAGCATTTGTTCATTTCGTGTCTCTAGGTTCACATTTTTTGCTCCTTGAAATACTTCAAACTTTTCATTATTATTTGTTATGATGAATTATGATCAGTGATCTTTGACGGTACTATTCTAATTGTTTTGGGGCACCACAAACCACACCCACATAAGACAGGTAACTTTTATCAATTGACAAATATTTGTGTTCTGACTGCTTCATCAACCAACCGTTCCCGTCTCTCCCCCTCCTCAGGTTCCTCTATTCCCTGAGACACAACGATATTGAAATCAGACCAGTTAATAACCCTACAGTGGCCTCTCAACGTTCAAGTGAAGAGTTGCATGTCTCTCCTTTTAAAAACTGGAAATGATTAAGCTTAGTGAGGAAGGAACGATGAAAACCAAGACAGGCCAAAAGCTTGGCGTCCTAAACCAAACAGCCAAGTTAAGAATGCAAAGGAAACTCTCTTCTATTCTGTGAAGGCTGAGAGAAGTGAGGAAGCTGCAGAAGGAAAGTCTGAAGCTAGTAGAGGT